GATGGGGTTAGAGAAGTAAACAGGTGATTTCAGCATGCTGGGAATAATTCTATGAGATTTGGGGAATCAAAATATTGTAGAAGCACACAAGATGTGGTCCAAAACCAGAAGGGGGTGAAGGGAGCATGTGGACTTACCGTAACTTTTAATAAGGGAGAACAGAGATAATGCTCCATTCCATTTCAGGGAGGTCAAGTGGCCTACAGCCAGTAACAGTTAAGTGATAAAGTTAAGACTGCAATCTCTTACCTTTCCTCCTTCCACTGCACAACAGTATTGAATCACCAAAATCATTACTGTCACTTTATCATTACCATTATCATCATCCTCATTGTAAGAAGTTTAATAAGACATATGCAACCCACAACTTCAGTTGATAGCTAAAAACAGAACAAACGATCATCAAAACACCGGTGAATTATATAGATACATTACCTAGTTATTACCGGAGTATCATGTAGGCTTGAGGGTTGCTGTGGGTTTTTTTAAGTGACTAGATAGAGCCCAGCAAGTTTGCAATGGACAGGTTTTATGGAGGAGATAATGCTGAAGAGTGTTTAAAAAGGAATCAGAGACCAGATGGTGTGGCAAAGAGAAAAAGGTAAGAGATTGAAGATGAAAGGATCACCTTAGATGACTCCTTAGAGGTAAGAGCTGACAAAATACAGCCACAGCATAGTCCCCCACACAGGCATACAGGCCGAGGTGTAGCTAGAGATAGGGATGTTTAGGGGAGGTTTCACCTCCCCTAAATATCCCACTTGACACCTCCAATAGGTTTTATAAATTTCTTCAGATGTAGATTTCTTCTGATTATGGAAAAAGGAAGTTCAGAATTTATAGAGAAGGATGCATGATGATTTAGGAAAGAAGCAAGAGAAAGTTTCCTCTAAATTTTTAGAAGTGTCACCTGAGGGAATTCCTAAATAACGACTATTGAGAATCAATCGCATTTTTTGGTGGTCACAGGTTATCACCATTTCTGTTCTTTTCTTTCCAACATAATTCTAAAAGCATTTTTTAACTGCCTAGTGTTTTGATCCTCTCCTCCTCTCGTGGCCATCTTGTGCACAGAATTTTAAGCATCATGTTTTTTTCCTTGAAACTGGGAATGTTTTTGTTAGTCTATTAGAAACATGAGGATTCTGAAACTTTCTGTATAATAGGTGATAATAATTGCCAAAATGTTGGTTTAGCTCTTAATATATACAAATTTAATTTAAATTGTGGAACTATTACTACTACAGATAACACTTAAGATTATTGATCATTTCAAACATTTTGGCCCAACCATTAGATCCCAAAGTTTATTGCTTCCCAAAGAACTGGTTTTTGATTATGGATGTCTAAAACACCCAACCAAAATCTGAACTGTCATAGTAGCTGGGTAAGAGATAAGGGGTAAGAAAAGTATCCAGTCATCCAACCACATTTCTGCTCTTTTTGTACAAACTTCAGATGAAATACAGTCACTCAATAAA